CCTCGCCAACCTCCATAAAAATGGCCTAAAGGCCAACGCAAGTACAAAGAACACAGACTTTAGCTGCATCTTTTTCCGTAACTCCCAAAAAACCTACTCTTCTTTCTATTAATCTGTGTGCTTGTATTGCCCTAGGAGAATATTAAAAAGTATAAATATTATATCAATATCATAGAGGTGTCCAATAACCAGAATAGCTAAATGAATTTAATTTGGCTGAGACGATTCAACTGAGATTTCATCCGTTACCCACCTTTACCTTGAATAAATGTACTCGCTGATTAAAAACTAAAAACATACATGATGATACTAAAGCTTGAGCTGATGTCTCTTCTCTGAATTCTTGATGGCAAAGTATAAAAGCTGTTGTGCACACAGAAGGTATTTTCCCTGCCCTTGAAATGGAATGACACTACAATCCGACATGTTTTGTTCACAGTTGGTTTGGTTAGCAAGTGTTACAGACCCAATACTTATTTTTCAACCAGTTAGCTCTAACCAGATGTTAGTAATTGAATAGGAAGAAGCAAAACTGATGGAATATTTTAATCTATTTGCAGTACAGAGTTTGGACAACTGGAAGAGAAGCTTATTAATGTATAATTCCTTTGCCCTGCGGCGAGACTGAAATCCATGGTTCTCCTGGCGTGCTGATCACTAAATTCCAAATAGGATTTAATGGGTAAGCTGGAGCTGGTGCTGCTGATGGATTATTCTTGGGGATTTAAGCATGAATAAAGACATCAGTTTAGATGGATCAGGACATCTTTTGGGGAGTAATGGATTCCATGCGTTTTACCTAAATAGCAAAGTTTTCCTCTTGGCATGGTCGTTTCCGGCTGGCCTTTCTCTGGGGGCTTGGCTTGGATATTTCTGTGTTTCTGTTCCTGCTTTTGTTTCCCATGTCACTATCTGGACTTCAGCAGTAGATTCAGCAGATGATTTCATCAAAATCACAATCAGCCTGCTTCTGTGTGACTTTCAAGCCTGAGGAACAACTTCTCTTCATCTATTGTCCTTTTCTGCACCGACTGCCAGGCGCCTTCATATTCAGAGCTAGTGTGAGGCCTTGGTCTCCGAAAAGCCCTGAAACTGGATTTCAGTTGCACAACCTCTAGAGCCTATTGTTTTTTTGTCTCCTGCTATCCTTAATACTTTAAGCTGCCAATTAAAAAGGGAAGATTAGCGTTTAAGTTGGCCCTGCTATTCTTGTTTGTATTGCAAAATGGCACACAGCTCCCCCCACCTCCAGGTTAAGTTCATGGCTCCACAGTGATGGATGCTGCACCACCGGGCAACGGCAAAGGAGGGGAGAGGCTTTTCCCCCATTCTGCAGATGGGGAACTCCGATGTTAAGACGCAGCGCTCACCGATACACAGGTCCTTTCAGCATTCTTTTAGCTGAAATGAGTTGCCAACTTTTGCTGATTTTGGCCAATGGGCGTTGCGCAAATCATGAATATGAACCATTGCACATCTGGGCGCTGTGTCCACGTACCCTTCGTCCTCCTCTCTGTCATGGGATTATTCAGCCTAGCTGTTGTTTTAAAACCCTACGAATTACACTTACTATGTATAGTCAAGCCCTCCTTTGACCATTACCCTGATAGGGTTCTGTGTTTAATTGGATAATTCTTCAGTATGTTTCATCCTTTCCATGACCAAGGCAGGAGGGGGCCATTTCAATTTCAAACTTAATAGTCCAATTCAGGCAAAACTGAGCTGCCAAAGCATGCTGCCAGAGTTTATTTCTGTTTTGACAGGGATCATGTCTGAAAGTAGTATATACAGGGGTAGTATCGTTACCACACTTGTAAAGGAAACTCTGTGTAAAGGAAAGGTTCTGCCTAACCGTGCCCAGGATTGACCCCGCATGACTGGAAGTTGAGTGGAAAGTAGCTGTAGTATTACGTTTATCACTTAATACCTACAATCATGTCCAAGGTCAGTGTTTAGTCACCTTCTGCTGAGGTGAGCAATAAGGGACGAAACTTGCTCTCTTTCCTCCTTTCTTCTCCAAAAGCCACCTCTTTTCTTTGCCTCTGTTTAGTAAGTGTTGCAATAAAAAAAGACATAACTGTTTTAAATGACTAATATGGTCAGATTATATCATTTCCTCTCCCCTCTTCTGAAAGGGAAACAGGAAGAAAGGCACTCAACCTTCCTAAGGACTTTTAAAAGCATTTTTATTATCTTCCCTTTGTGAGGTTTTGACATGTTTTAAGACATTACAGATAATCATTAGAGTTATTTCCGGTTGGACCGGAAATAATGGCACTTACCAATACACTGTGCTAAAGATTGGTTCAGTAGGGTGATGTACGCTGCAAGCTGACTGGGGTAAATTAACTGAGTGAGGCTTAAGGGAATATTTGAAGAAGTGAGTTTATGAGCATTATACAGAGCAGTTGCTAAATCTTGACTTTCATTGGCACAGCAACTATAAGGAAAGACACTTCAGCTAGCATGGGTTGTCTCATGAAAAGCCTAAAATCTGATCTGTAGATTAGATACAAAAGCTAGCAAATTAAATCCAATCCCTTTGCCAAATCTAAGATCAGAAAAGTCTTAATTTTGCCACAGGTTAGCCTAGTACTATTTTGAATCAACATAAAAATGAAAGCAACCTGGCACTGAAAACTTTCCATCAAATTGGTCCAGCTTCTTTGCCAAAGAAGCCCAAAAAAGCACGATTTTCTTCAGCTTCAATTCTTATGTTATAACATTATGGAAACAGCGCAGGGCTGAGTTGATCTACTTGGGTCAAGCACAAGCAGGAACCAAAACCAATCCACAGAGATATTATCCTAACTTCGTCTCTCTCTGCTGCCTTGGATAAGTTTTTCCTTCTCTGGACTTTT